TAAACCGCTTAGAGAGGGCTGAAAGCCCTATGAAGCGGTATATAAGTCTAACTGATATTGCTATTGCTATTATTGATAATGACGGCTACTCCATTTCTTCTGAGGGATTCTTGCCCGCAGTAGTCTACCTGATGGTCATCTGAATTAAATTCATCCCTTCCTGTCCATTTTAGTTCACTGATTCCTAAGATGTTGGTGTTCAGTCTTGTCATCTCTTGTTTGACCATGTCCAGTTTGACTTAATTAATGTATCTTACATTCTAGGCTTCTATGGAGAATATAGATCTTTAGGGTATTGGACTTTCCTTTCACCACCAGATACATCCAAAGCTGAGTGTCCTTTTGGCTTTGACCCAGTCACTTCATTCTTTCTGGCGCTACTATTACTAGCCCTCTATTCTTCCCCAATAGCATATTGAACACTTTCTGTCCTGAGGGGCTCAAGGTGCACAATTTGCAGACAGAATGTTCTAGAGCAGGGGTGTCAAACTCGCATCGTCATGGCAGCATCATGTGGTGTATCGGGACTATTTCCCCCTTCGCTAAACTGAGCATGGGCATGGGCATTGTGTGACACATCCGGTCCGCAGGCCACGAGTTTGACAGCCCTGTTCTAGAGCATCTATCTACTAAGTAATATCTAAAAATCAATGCTAACTTGGTAGCACATAATCAAAACTAACTACTGCTGAGATTCAGAGGGATACAAATTAATATTGTGAAAACCTTTGAAAAGAGGGACTTCAGAGTGAAGTTGGGAGTGAAATTGCCCTCTTCAAAACATTGAAATACACACTGATGAACAGGTGTGACTGAAGAGTAATGAAATAGCCTTTATCTTTAAAAAAGCACTTCCATGTGAGATCACATCGTATGATATGCTAATTTTTTGAAAAGAATTCCAACTTGATGTGAAGAGCTGCCATGTAAACGATATATTTTAGTGCATTTCAAAATACCAAGTGTTGCCACAAGGAAACATTTTGTACATGTATGTTTTCTGTATGACATCCACAATACAACCCAAACACATAAGAAATTTATGTGCTTGGTATCTTTAACTACTTTATTCTTTAGGATTCAATGGGACTTGAACAAAATCAGTTTTCTATGGGCTGAGTTATAATATTTAGGTTTTCTCTTAAGATGAAGCATGAGATCAAGCCAATTTCAAAATCAGTGTGCACCACAGCCTTTAAAGTTCACAAAATAAGTACAATAGGAAAATGGCTAAATATTAGTTGACAACAAATCAAAGCAAATGATACATTTCCCCCTTGAATTAAGATTAATAATAAGTTATGAACATGTCTGGATCAATAGCTTTATCAAAATGGAAATGTTTAAGGGATTGCATTTGCCATTAACCGTTACCCGACAAAAGCGTGAACATCATAAGCGCGCCGACAACACCGCGGTGCTAAAACTGCGATGTCAAAAGCGCGCCGACAACAGCGCGCCGACAGAAGCACGATTTAATTTAAGGTAAGATTTACGGTTAGGTTTAGGGTTAGGTTTAGGGTTAGGGTTAGGTTTAGGGTTAGGTTTAGGGTTAG